AAGAAGAGGATGATGCCTTCCGGGCACTTCTCTGTAATGTACCGGTAACCGTAACCGATCGTGGCCTCAGTCTCGATGAAGAACAGAAAAGCGGAGGGGAAGTTGTAAACATTGGCCACACATGGGGTGTAGGAAGGGTCATGGCCATGATGTATGTCTCCTCTGATATAAGCGATGGTCCACCACATAGATGCCATGAACAGCCAAGCGATGGTGTAAGTTAGGGTGAAGATGAGAAGGTTCCATCGCCACTTTAAGTCTACCAAAGTGGTGAAGAGGTCAGAGAGGTACCTGCTGCTCTCTCCCCCGAGGTTTCCGTGCTGCACATTGCAGCGACCGTTCTTGTCCACGAAGCGCTGGCGTTTTTTCTTAACCGGAGCAGCAAAAGTGGTAGCCCGGTTTGTGTTGACCACCTGGTAGTCTTCACCAAATTTTCTTCGAAGTGCCGCCATTTGAGCTCTCCTAAAGTAAAGAAAGATTACCTGCTGTTTAATCCATGTTACGATAGTTTTAGGCTCCAAATCACTGGTTACATGGAGTGCGTAAAAAGCGCCATGGGCACTTCAGCGCGCGTAAAACGTTGGAAAAAAAACAAATTACGCGAATGTCAGTGTTTTGAAGCCCCTGGTCCGTTTTCATAAATACAAATATCCAATATTCTTCCCGTTGTTTCACATGACTTCACAATATCGCTGACTGTACTGTGCGCTCTGCTCAGTCTCCACTCTCTTTGACTGGCATGTCCTCACCAGCAGAGCGAAATACGAGGATCTTCCATTGACAGCTTCTGGTGGGCTGTGGAGGATGAGGAGGGGAGTGGGAGTGTGTGTGAGTGAGTGAGAGAGGGAGATGCGAGGAGAAGGGGGAAGGGAGAGAGGAGGGGAGAGTTACACAAGACTGCGTTTGTGTGAGAGAGGTGGACAATTTGACGCTTCTTTGTAGTTCTTCTGGGAAACTGTATATGGCTTGGTTTGTATATTATATAATATCAGTAAATACTGTTTGAATGAATAACTTATAAGTGCTCACATTCTCTTCACATTGTAGTTGCTCCATGGTTATAAGTATGAGCATGTAGGGTCACAGAGATCCCGGGTAATTAGATTGGAGTTGTGCTTTTAAGTCAAACTTTGCCATCTACTGGAGAGACAATGTATGTGCATATTTGATCTAAAACAGGGTAGTTATGTGTGCCTCTTTTCACCCGTGTCATATTATTAAAGCTTATCAAATGTCCCAGTAACATTCACAAGCTTTGCCCATTTTAAGTCGTTGCTTCTCCTCTTTCCCGTGAAGCCTTTCTATTGATTTAGACATTGGATTGCTGCTAGAGAGGAGGATATCCTGGACAAGTATCCTCCCAAAGGACACTTTAAAAAGGATGCAATGCCCTTGGATCTCTTTGCCCTGGTTTCAATTAGATATAATACAATGCCTTATTGCATTTCATTATTACTATTATTAATTAATATACAGTTAAAGTTTCTCCCGCAAAGTTAATAATAAATGGTGTAATGAACATATCTTTGATATTGGGAAACATGTTTTTTAGATGCTTTTTGGGAAAGGGCAACACACCAGCAAGTTAAAAGAAAAACAGGTATGGGACATAATTTGAAAACCCAACAACAACAAAATACAACAAATCAAAAATAGATAAGAGCTTATGATGAACCAGGCAGTTTTAGGGTAAATTAAGTGCACATTTAGTGGCTGCAAAAAAGTTATAATCATTTTTCTGAGGTTAAATTAGTGGCAGCAATAGTTGCATAAATTCATAAATCTGGTTACCAAAGGGGGCCAAAGGACTCATTGTGCAGATGGCAAAGTTATTTACTCATCAGCACCCTCTACTGACAAAGGTTTGTCTAATTTAAAGTATTTTTTTATTTTGTCCTAATCAAAAGGCCCTGATATAATACTAAATATCCCTGTCGCAGTTGGCTGCATGACAACCACAGACCATTCCCAGATGTTCTGATGTTTTTCTGTCCAAATAACTGTAGGCAAGAAAACAGTACAGTATTGTATTTTTAAAGAAAAAGGAATGTTTTATAGCCTTTTCTGCATTTAACAAAAATTATAAGCGCAGTCGAACCTTATGAGGTAGTAGCTTATAAGCTTTTATAAGTGTATAGGCCCGGTTTACTGTGTATAATACCAAACAAATAGGTGTAGTATTGATAGTTTCTTATTTGTTGCTTATGGCACCAAATATTATTAAACCAAATAGAATCATTTCAATTGTATTTTAATCCCCATGGTACAAGTCTGACCACTGCACAGTTTTTTAATAACTAAAAGACTTGTGTCTCAGTAGAGGAACCCAAACACGGCTGTGATCCTCCTGACAATTGAGGATTAGAGGTAGACGGCCAGGCTCGCCATCTGTTATAAGAAGGAATCGGGCTTTCCCAGTAAGAATACAAATCAGCACGCAGGCAACCACTAAATTTGGCTTTTAACTGTTTTGTTGGCCTCCAATTTTAGATGAGAAAGCAAATTGAGCATTCACAATCAAATTATTTGTTGTGTGTGTGTGGTTACAATGGATTCAGGAGAGGAGGGAACAAAGGCATGCTGCACACAGGCTGAATTATTAATGAGGACTTGATAACCGTCTCTGTTACACATTTTGCCATACAGAAGTAGAGAAGTAATCACTCCTCTGTCTCCTTCGCAATGAAGGCAGATTACTTAATTCAAAGTAGAGTCAGTGCTATACGACATGACTCAAAGTGCAGGAGTCATAATGTCTCTGACCTCCGTGTCCCAAACATTCGCTGAGTGTTGAGGGTGATGGAAAGTTGAGACAGGCTGTGACATTTACGAATATTAGATTGACACTCAGAACAGGACATTGAAAAAACACCAGGAAGGTCCACCTTTATATGTGCTTCTGTGTGTTTGTGCGCAGGTTTTACAGGATTACAAATGCTACATGAACATTTTTATACCAACAGTGAATCAAACGCCAAGCGTAAAAACCAAATAGAATCGTTACTCAAGTTAATTCCTTCCAACCCATTGTTTTGGTTTTACAGCCTGCATATTTGCTGGTTTGGTTCACTCTCACGGCTTTCATAGTGTCATTTTTGGTCACAGCATACAGCTGTTTCAGTAAAGAGCTGTAACAATACCTGCTCAGTACCAAACAGCAGACAGACTCAGCATCTATCAGGTAAACATCATTTAGCAGATAAAATGGGATATTTCTCTAAGAAGACTGAAACAGTTCTTGGAGTATAGTCCATATTGGATGAGGTGGCCAGAAACACAACTCAAAATAAATAATAATGTTGCTCCATCTCTGGGTGTGTATAAAGGCAACTGTGTTTAAAACATGCAAACATGAGCACTTTATTTACTTTTATTGGCCATGCATGACTTCAGCCACACATTTTAGAAAAACTAAGATCGAGTTCAGCCATTCATTCAACACACAGCATTTTTTAGCTAAGTGTTTTCAAATGTGTAATATGTCCATGAATAAAACTATACTTAAATACAGAATCTTTTAGTAGCCTAAGAGTTGTCAAAAGCTATATGGTAACTCTTAATATGCAGTTTTTAAATGTAGAATATATTATATGGAGATGCTTTAAGCTTTTAATTTCTCCTTACACCCTCTAACAAATTCCTTCCTTTTAAACATTGTTCATTTCTTCATATCTGTTTTTTTGGTTACATTTAAATAATAAGATGATGAACTTGATTAAGCTGGAAGTTCAAATGTAATCTGATTACCATCTAGACTTATCCGGGGACCATCATACATATTTAAACACTGATGAGAGTGATTTCAAAGATATCACTGATGTCAGCTACGGGTTGTCATCGTGGATGTATGAAAGGAGCGAGGACATAACAAATTCACTCGGTAACCTTTTTTGCATTACTCTACTGACTGCATTTCCATTAGTTACTGCTTTCTGAATTAATTGGTTCATTAGCAAAGGCAATTAGTAGTGGGGGGCGCAAGGCCTGACTGATGTGCTTTTAGATGTATACATAGTCATTCATCTGGCAGATCTAAGGGCTTCTGAATACATCTGATCATCTGAATGCCTGGTCCGAGACTCGCTCTGCTGTGGTTTGAACCATTCAGCTGTTTGCATTTGTGGATCTTTATCCACTACTGCCATTCAAGCTGGATTGTTCCCCCTTTCCATTAATGTGTGAAGCTACATTAATTTGCGAGACTGAACAGACATCCAAAAAATAAAAGTTATTTTTATTTTTATTAATAAACTACACACTAAACCTAAATAAGACACTGAAAAAAACCTATAGTTGCTATTTGTAGAAATTGAAAATAAGATCAACTTTAATTTAATTATATTATCTGATGTATGCAATAATGTTTTTATTTTATTTTGTGATTTAAAACTACGCTGTTTTTAATTTATACTTTTTAAGTGATGCATTAATGTGTTCATTGCTTCATGTGGCAGCTGGTAAAGGTGGAACTCATTTGATTTAATGTATACAGAAATCTATACTGCAGGGCTGCCTAACCAATACAATGATATGTTCAAATTAATTAGATGGATTTGTATTAGTAATTACAGTCCCTAGTAACAATACTATGCTATTTAAAAATGTTATGGTGTAAAAAGAACAATATTTACATCAGATGTAGTAGAGTAGACGTTTAAAGAAATATAAAATAGAAATACTAAAGTACTTCAAAAGTTCACCTCAGTAGAGTACTTGAGTATGTATACATGAATAAAAAAGTATTCTTTGTTAAACTTCACTCGTGAAAAAGAGTAAGGTATTTGAAGATGTATGCAAATAAAATGCAAGAATTATAAAACGTGCAGGAATAATGGTCTATTGACGATGATTACTTAACTATGAAACGATGTTATTAAAATATGGGCATTTTTTTAAGTATTAATAGTTGTATATATATCTGGATATCACGATTGCCTTTAGTCAAACAACACAAATCAAAAAATGTTTCTTTTATGTTACAGGACGCATCCGTCTTCAGGACCCAGAATCCTCAGCGCCGAGGCAAGATGGAAGAACCCAGCAGCTGCGGGAGAACAATGTTTTGGCTCTAGATATTGAAACGGACAGCTGAGGGTGAACTACTCGAGCCTAAATAGCAGGTCATGGTCATGCAACGGTAAGATAAATTCATGAAATCAAGTTTATCGACCTATCCGGTCGTTGTAGCAGTGACACCCGGGACGGGACAGACAACAAAGCACGGAGCTCTAGCGTTAACGTTACCGCTAGTTAGCTGCTAAGTTAGCTGTCTCGGCTAGCCGGACGAGCATCATTGTTCGCTAGAGTTGTATGGGCCGTTTGTTATGGGTCATGCTTGTGTTGTCGTCCCATCACTTACAGTCGGTCCACAGCCCGGAAAACGAAGCCAAACACTTGGAGATAACAGCCAATAATAAGTTAAAACAATGTACGATAAGTGTTTACATTTATTTTGCATGCGCTAACTAGCATTTGTCCTTGATAATTTCTCCAGCTCGGTGATTGTGTGCGTCTTGTGTAATGCTAGTGTGTAATGATATCTCCCTCTTATTCTTTAATTTCATCTCAAAAAGTACAAAACTTACTTTGATTACTTGTCTTAAAACAGAATAGACTTCTCTCATGCTTTTGTTGTTTTTTTCTGTTCATATTTGCTCGTTTTTTTGGTGTTCATCAAGCGCAAGTCTGCTGCTGTTATTGCATGGCCATATTAATTATTGCCTGATCCTGCATCACAAAGGAGAAGGGCCCCGCAAGAATGGTTAGCCAAATGGTTAGCTAGGTAGCTAATTGAATAGCCAACAAGCTTGGTAGTTTTTCTTAAATGCACGCAGACCACGGGGTCCTCTCAACGCACGCTTTGTGTGCTGAAACAGATATGACAAAGATGAAGTCAGTCGGAGTGGCGGAAGTCTTATTCTTTTTTATTAAAAGTTTGCTTTTTGTTAGCCGGGTAGGTTATTTCTGCTAGCTCGCCATCAGAGCTGAAGGCATTTGTCAGCAGTCAGATGGCACTCATTAGCTGAACGGGTCGTTCATGTGGCAGCCAAAGATATCTGTAGAGTATGTACAAATCATTTAATTTGAAATACTAATGTAACCTCAGTGTAAATTGCCAAAAATAAATAAAATAACACTTTAGAGAGTCACATGTCCAACATTTGGATACCTGCGTGCAATGCATGCATACATTTAATTTAGATATGAACACGTTATACACCATTTTCAAATATCATTAATAAACATCTCGCTCGGAGCTCAACACATGCATTTGATTATCCTGTAGCTACGTAATTAAACCAACAGCCTTTCTGATGCAGTGTATGTGCACTCTCATTGGCAGATAAGCTCATGCAAATAGGATGACTGGGTCAGACAGCCCCATCAAACAGATTAACACAACTTCAATCCTCTCATTCCTCCTTGTGTTGTGTCTAGCATTGAGCCACTGTGACCTTTTTGCTTTGTAAAATACTGTAAACACACAGTGCAATCAACTAGAGATATATTTGGTACTCTGTAGCCCAAGTGTTGTCTGTTTTGCTTGATAACACTTGTAAATGTGTCAGACTGCAGCCCTTTTGTTGACCCACAAACCATCACATTTAATCCGACTAAGCGCCCAGTTGTGAGATCACTGGCCGTGACACTGATTCCTGAAGACCGAGATTAACTGGCTCCGTAATTGTTGTCTATTATTTGTGTATCGCCACCGATTGTTTTTCCTTTTATGTCTTCCTTGATGTGACCTTTAACTGTTTTAATGTTGAACTTCTATTGTTTTTTCCCCCTCACAGAATGACACTAATTCCCACCCTATAGTTTTCCTTCCCGCCGGCCTCCATCATGAACATCGTTCAAGACAAACTAGGCAATGAATACCTGCGCTCAAACCAGAGCATGGACTCCAATTTCGGCCCTGGCATGTTAATGTTCAGCCACCTACCCCCGGTGACCAGCTTCACCCGGCTGGCCGCCCACTCCGTCATGCAGGACCTGCCATCACAAGAGATGATCCTGAAGAAGGAGCGTGACTCGCCTGACTGCAGCATGGGCACCCAGGGTGGGCACATGGGGTGTGCAGGGGTGGGAGACTATGTTCACGCCATGGGTATTAAGCAGGAGAAGATGTCAGAACACGATTACCGCCTGCCAGTTTATCCCGGAGGGCTGGGGAAGAGCACAGAGCTGCTGGAGGTGACAGTCAGTAACAACCAGAGCCTGCTGGTGCATGATCTCAACATGGGCAACGTAAGTACCACTGGAATCAGAATGTGAGTGGGAGTTATAGCTGAAAAAATTGCTTTGCTCAAGTTGAGAGCTGAAACAATAAGTAAAATAATTGATTAATTGTCACAAATAAATACATTAATATCTCTTATATATCATACATTATTCATTAAAGTTAATAAAACACGTCAGATACCATTCATAGTGTGGCTAGCTATATTTTGCAGTAGATCCAGCCAGCTCGTTGTCATTATAACATAAAATGCGTGTGTGTGTATATATACACATATAAACCCCTTCATTTTATAAGCTTTTCCTTCAGTGCATTATTGTGTGGTTAGCAACAACATACACCAAGATTATTAAGAAAATCTAAATTAGTGAATGCTTTTTTGGTTAGTATTAAAGTCCCTGCTGTATTGTGCAACAGCCAATATTTCTAAAAGCCTGAGAGAGGGGGACCTGATAGAGGATGGGTGCGGGGAAGAATCTGTGTGAAACTGTTTATGGTGACATAAATCTTCTGACGGCTTTAGATGCAAAATATAAATGAGTGCCGCCCCCCCCCCCCCTCGCTCCCTCTGTTTCTCTTTCTGGGTAGAAGGGTGATGTCATACCGCTTCAGCATGAATGAAAACGTCATGGCAGAGACACAGCTGTCTTGTTTGAGCTTGCCCTTCATTTCAGACGTCTTTTGTGCTTATTCAAATAGAAATACACACAACCACACACTTCTAACAATAGCCTCAAACCCTAGGTCATCAGGGCTCTAGGTGCAAGTTTGTTGAAACATTTTTTTAATGATTGTCCTCACACTGCCAGAAGGAACATTTTTATTTTAAGGATTTAACAACCCTTAAATGTTTCAGTCTGGCTCTCATTATTACTTTAAGGAAATCTACGTTAATAAGCCTTACAGTCTGTATTCTTTTGTCGTGCTCCTAAATTGTTGCATTTTCTCGCACAGTGATGAGACTTTTTGGAAGTAAAATAGCGTTTTTAGCCCACAAACTGCTCAAATCAAGTTTTATTTTATTATGGCTATTCTATCTGCTGTTCTTGCCCTAAACATTGAGCTAATTTTGAGAACAGCAGGTGCACCCACATGTACCCTGTCAGTCTCCATATGGCACTGAGTTGCAGCATGTTCACTGGGAAATAATGGGCAATGCTGGAAGGCAAAAAGGAAGCAATCAGGAACCAATCTTTTTATTTATGTTGCATAAATATGCAACACAGATTGTTTGTGATAAACTTTAGTGAAGCGTAATACTTGTATTGTATTGTTTAGAATGTGAGGTGTTCAGTTTTTGTCTATTTCTTAGAGACAAGAGGTTAGACTAGTGGATAATGGCTCTCATTGAATTACAAGCTGCTTACACAAAGAAAGGCCGTGAATTTATGGCATTGTTATTTTACCCACTAGAACCACAGCGTGCACAATGGGTGCTCAGCAGACAATCACTAGACATTGTCCAAGTGTTTTGTTTGTTGTTGTGAGCAAAAAACAGACTTGTTTGCTGGATCGTTTTTTTTTTTTAGGCTTAGGCCCTTAACCTGCAATCAAATAATTTCCCTGCCGCAGCTCGCTCTCACGGCCCTCTCCCTCTCCCTTTGTCATCCTCACAGCTGCCGAGTCAGTTAGGAAAGGAGCCCACTGGGAGGAAAGGTCGAAGGTCAAATGGTGATGGACAGGATGGTAAACCAAGAAAGAAGAGAAATGAGGCAAAGGTTTGACATATATATCTGTGAATAATGTCAAATTTTGCAAATGTAGATCTATTAAATGGATAAATAAAAATGATTACAAATATACACATTTTAAAAATAAATAAATATGTTTATGTAATTTTTTTTCAACACGAAAACATTGTCCAAATAGATTTATTATGAGCGTAATCTGTAGAATAATGCTTTATTATTTAATCTACCCAATATGAACTGATCCTTTTGAATAATGAAAGATGATATAGAGGGCAGCTGACTGAATCTGACCCCTGTGTTTCTGTTGTGGTTCCACAGCAATCAATGATGCTGGATGGAGAAGGAGGCAACATGTCACCGGGGAACAAGCCTCACATCTGTGAGCACTGCGCTGCATCCTTCAGAAGCTCCTATCACCTACGTAGACACGTCCTCATCCACACAGGTATTTTACATTGCCCGTTTTACCATGATGCTCATCTTTTGTCATTTTTGTTTTTTTTAAATCATGTATTTTGATAAGGGCAAAACAAACGTTATCTTAGAAAAATAGCGGGGCAGGCTGTAAACATTTAGAAACTGAGTGTTGCTGTGATGGAAACAGGGAGGGACAACTCTTTTTTTAGCTTTAAGCCTCTACTGCCACGTCAGTGCTGAATGTTAGCAAAGTCAGCTAAAACACTTTTAAACCCTACGGTACAACATTACGATAAACACTTTGGTTTCAATGTGAGATGATTAGCAGTTTTGTGACCAAAGCAGTTATTATGAAACGGCTAGAGTTCAGCATTTCAGAAAATTATACTATCAGCTAAAGGTAACCTAAGATAAAAAAAAAGTGTACTTTCAGAATGATATAACATCTGCTAAAGTTTAGTGATTTCAGATAATTGATTTTAAAAGTAAACGATCAGCACGATTAAACACTTAATTTGTATTCAATTTTGTGCCTTTTTAGAATGATGATGGTCCATTTTAGTCTGAGCTCCTTTCAGAACGGCATGTGTTGTGAATGTTAATTTACCAAATACTGAATTAGACCATTGATATTAAATTCAATACAATCAGTTGCCTTACCCCCGAACACACAGGGCTTTTGTGAAGAGTGTGCAAAGTCAGTCAATTTCATTATTGTATAGAGGTGCTTCTAATTTTCAAAAAAGTGAACCATAAATGTGGCAATGACCATTTAGGAATGACATCTTTTTTTTACAGTATATATATATATCTCTGTGATTTTTCCTTTCAGGTGAAAGACCCTTCAGATGCAATCAGTGCAACATGAGTTTCATTCAGAAATACCTTCTCCAGCGACATGAGAAAATCCACAGCGGTGAGTGTTTTGACGAAAACCATCCGTATCATATCTTATTTAATCTGCGAGTCATTATGTGCTTCCAATAACAACTAACCTTGAGCGCTGCTGTCTTTGTAATGCAGGAGAAAAGCCATTCAGCTGTGACCAGTGTAACATGCGTTTCATTCAGAAGTACCACATGGAGAGGCACAAGAGGACTCACAGCGGAGAGAAGCCCTACAGATGTGAGACCTGCCAACAGGTCAGTGAGCTGTTTACTACCCTGATTATTTAATATGATATTTTGTAAATCGAAAGCTTAAAGGTAGGGTAGGTAATTCACTTCAGAAACACTTTTTGTTATATTCCATGGAATGCTCTTAACATCCCGATAGCGATGAATAAATTAAATGCTTTGACAATAAATATATACAAATATTTAATCTGTGGAAGCCGTGGCGCTGTAAAAAGCACGACCAATGATCTGCCTTGGCCCGCGGCAGATAATTAGATGGCCTACCTGCATGTCAGCCTTCCATCTCGTGCTCAAACTTATCTCGTGCCCTCATTGAAAGAATACATTTTTATTGTTTAAAGGTGGGGTAAGTAAGTTTGAGAAACCGGCTCGAGATACACTTTTTGTTATATTCCATGGAATGCTCTTAACATCCCGATAGCAATGAATATCTGAAGTGACTTTGACAAAAAATCCATTAAAAAATTCATCAGTTGAAGCCGTGGCGCTGTAAAAAGCACGACCAATCATCTGAGCCGGCCCGGCTAAAGTAACTGGATGGCCTACCTGCCTGTCAGCCTTCCATCTGTGCACAAACTTATCTCGTGCCCTCATTGGTCATGTGCGCGTTCGTGTGTGTTGGAGGAGGGGCTCTGTAAGGAAGGGGCAGATTTGTGTACTTTCAAATTAGGGCGCGCTCGAGATGGTTTCTCCAAAATGACATACCCCACCTTTAAGAGAATAAAATGTTAGAATAAAAATAAATAAAGTAAAGGACAGTCAGTCAAATGTGCTCGTCCCACTTCCTCTCAATCACTTGACCTCGCCCATTGGTATTGTGTAACAGCATATTGTACGGAGGCCACTTCAAGGACAGCGGGAAAATATACTTTTACAAACCTCTTACATTCTTCCTGACACAATCCATTCGTTATGAGGCTTGGGGAGTAACAGGATTATGTCATTAGGATACAAAAAGAAGGTATTCCTCACTCCTTATCAGCGGAGGCAGCAGGGGTGAAGTGTGGTGGTGGAGGAGGAGATGAAGAGGACATATTTCAGAGGAGCTTGGCAGAGGAGTGGTTGTGTTGGATCTTGGCCGATCTCTTCTTCTGTGAATGAGGCAATCAGGACGGTGGGACTAATCGATGGCCGTGACCCAGAAGGGAAAACCTCTGCCAGCTGACCACTGCTTCTGTGGAGTAGAGAATGACATTTCAATTATCTTTCATTTAAAATATGAACACATTTGTTTCGCTTACCGTCCAATCTATTCAAACACATTTATGTTAATTCACTTGTATTTCTTTTTAAGATTCTCCCATTTCCTGTGTCCCTGACAGCCTCCCCTACACTCCTTTTATAGGCGCATTGATCCTGTGTATACAGAAATAATAATTCAGGTCATGTAATGCCTCTCAACTAAAGCATCCCACAGTTATAATTAGTAGATAAACAATCAAAACAGACAAACACCAAACAGAAATCACCACCTTCTCAGCAGAGGTAACAATCATAGCTATTCAAATCTATGTTGAGGAACATTTAGTTTGAGGGTAACAAGATATATACATAGGGTAAAGAGAGCTATAAAAGTGTTGGTTCATGACAAATAAGTGAATATATTATAATATGTATATACTAAGGCTTGTAAATAGACAATATGTAGGTATTGTAAAACGTCCTGTTTCAAAAACACTCAATTTCTTCATCTTACTTTAGTTGTAAGCAACCAGTTTTATATGCACGACTGCCACTTAGCCTAAATATATTCTCGCATCAAATGCATAAGTGCAATGGATTGTGGGTAATATATACAACTCCAGTGTCCGTAGTTGTTCCCCTCGCTCCCTCAAACCTCTCAGCATCACTCAGTTTCTCAGACAGATGGATCAACTCTTATATGGGCAGCGAAAACTCTCCTGAGGAACTAGTGGCACACAGGACTAATACAAAATCACCTGGGTGTTACTTCGGAAATGTTTCAAGGAAATTGTATTACATTGGAAAGTGGTAGTCGGTAGTTCGGCTCCCTTTTGGCTAACTTGCTTATACTGTAAAGCGCAGGCAGAAAAGGAGGCAGTAAAAAGTGATAAATGAAGTGGCTAATCTCATGAGGAATATGAACTTAAAGACTCATTTTGGAAAGTTCAGTTTGTTTTATTAAACCTTTTCAAACTATTCAATCAATGTTTATTTATATAGCCCAATATCACAAATGTTACATTTGTCTCAGTGGACTTCACAGTTTGTACAGAATATCAGTATGACAATACGACACCCTCTGTCCTTAGACCCTCTGTCCTTAGACCCTCACATCGTACAAGGAAAAACTTCCAGAGAAAACCCACAGTTTAAAGGGGAACATGGGAGAACCCTCAGGGAGAGCAACAGAGGAGGGATCCCTCTCCAGGACGGACAGACGTGCAATAGATGCCGTGTGTAATTGGAAGAGTAATACATTTGCAACATAGGTAGAACCAAATGTTTTGGAAACTGCAATGTGTCTATAATAAAGAAGATGCAATCACGAGGATGTCATCCATGTGGGCCTCAGGACTTGCAGGACTCAGGACCACAGCAGCAGGATCAGCCACGACTCAGGATCCCGGTGTATATAGACACCAAAAATAAATTTGGGGAAGCTGGGTTATTGGGAACATGAGAGTACACAGGTACAGACAGAGAGAAGGAAGAAGTAAGGTGTCCCCCGACAAACTAAGCCTATATCAGCAAAACTAGGGGCTGAATCTAATCAGCCCTAACTATAAGCTTTATCAAAAAGGAAGGTCTTAAGCGCACTCTTAAAAACGGATAGGGTGTCTGCCGTCCGAACACAAACTGGAAGCTGATTCCACAAAAGTGGAGCTTGATAAGANCCAAATCGTTTGAGACCCACTGAGATAACTTAGACTAAAGTTTACAATATAATCACTCAGCGAGTCCTTTACCTCCCTGAGCTGATGTTATCTCAGCCTCTCAGTCCGACAGGAGAGGACTCTCCCTCTCCTTATTGTTGAAAAAGCTTCTAATCTCCGTTAGCTCCGAGCTAGCACCAGATACTAACAACAACCCCTGTAACTCTCTCTGTCTCGCTCTGTCTCTCTCGCTCTGTCTCTCTATCTCTGTCTCTCTCTCTCTCTCTCACACACAAACTGCGCTCCTGCCACACACACAAACAGACGCTCCTCCTTGACGACGACCACTTGCGTAAAAAAAAAAACACATTTGAAAAGTGGGGGGGACACAAACGAGATTTTGAAAAGTGGGGGGGACATGTCCCCCCTGTCCCCAGTGGAAATTACGCCCATGGGTATACAATACATGTTTAAATGGCATACTGTAGTGTGAATATGAGCAGCTCAATTGTGGGAACTGCATTGTGGGAGCGAAGCGTAGATTTGCTCGCATTGCTGGCGACGAAAGTTGAGCAATGTTCAACTTTTGAAGCTTCGGCGGAAGCGTCAGCCAATCGAATAATATGCCAGTACAAGCTCTAGCCAATCAAACCGCTGCTTGTGTGTCCGGGGCGGGAGATTCATGTGATGTAGGTTGTTGGTCGAGTTTCAGCGTCCCCCGCCGGCAAGCGATAACGCACGCCGCCGTGTGGACAGGCCGTTAAAGCAGGACAATGAGGTGAGAGAGAAATCTAAGAAAGATAAGGGTCAAAGAGGCNGCAGGGAACGAAGATGAGACGAGACAGAAAAGGAAGTGGAGAGAGATTCAAATTATTTCACTGCATGTCTGGTACAAATTAATAGAAGGTGTTTGATACCACACATACACACGGTACCGCCGGGATGTGTGTGAGTGTTCATGAACAAGACTGAATTATTCAGAAGCGAGCTGGGACTCGCTGAGTAAACATTAAGTCGAAATAGAGATGCGACTTCACACACCGTTGTACACAGACAGACAGACAGACAGACAGACAGACAGACAGACAGACAGACAGACAGACAGACAGACAGACAGACAGACACACAGGGAGACAGACACACAGGGAGACCTCTCCTCTGGGACCCTCACACAGATGGGACAGGAAATGTGTCACTGGGGCACAGTCAGACAGCGGCGGCCATCTTGGTGCCACTGATCCAGCTAGACTGTGTAAACCCCGAGGGAAATGACAGTCTGATTTTTCCAGGTTATCGACCCCATTAACTGCTGTTTCTCCGTCTTTCTGCTGGACTGAGTGTTGACAACTTGCCTGATAAAACGTGTGAAAGCGTGGAGAGTTGGGGCACTCATCAAGGAGGATTTGCACCTGCAGAAAAAGGGTTCACTGGATTGATTTGAAATTGATAGTCATAATTAGTGGGAGTGAAGTAAATCAGACATGATATGCAGTAAGCAACAGAGCTGTAATGCTCTGTAATGAGACTGTTATAAATAGACCTAAAGGCTATTTGATCTTTCTTAAATTCACAATGTTGAGCTCTCATATTGGAGTCTCGGCATGTTGTTTACATGCATATATTTCTCATAAAATATAATCCATGAATGTGTTTAAATAAGTAGCTTACAGTGATAAGAGTGACAAGATTAAACAAAACCATACTTTGTATTCTTCCTTCATACATGAGTGACAAGCGAGATTTTGCCATCGATTGTCATGTCTGAGTAAATTAAAACTGCTGTCTGTATGTTATTCTTAATAGTAATAATAATAATATGGATAATTTCTACTCTATGTTATTTTCATAGTTTTCTTGGAATTTCACATTATTTCTGTTTAATCTTTGACTTCTCCGCTCTTCTAGGATTAGTGAGTCTGACGGCAAGAATAAATCTCCAGCTTTTCGTTATCCCGTGTTCCTCGCACTCTTCTTCTGCTGCGTGTTTGCTCGCTGCGCTCGGCTGCTGGAGCTGGGGAACATGGGATAGCTGTCTAACCCCCCCGTCACCTGTGGAGATACGCCGGATGGATGCACCCTGTGGAAATTAACGCCGAGATTATGCAAATCCAAATTGAACTGTGAAGTTAAGAGGCTCGGCCCAGTGACCTCGTCATCTCACACAGGCGG